CGTCTTTTGTACCTACAGAACATTGTTTGGTTTTTACATTGTTCTGGCATCGAAAGACATTTGTGGTCATTGGAGAATTAAGAGGTAAAGAAATCCTCTGTATTAGGCGAGGTAAGTGCTGGTGTTAAATGCGTGTGCTTATGGGAGGCTTCTACATGATTGTGTAAGCCACATTATTGCGGAAATGAAACCGGAACATACACCAACCGGTCACATTACTCTGAGAACGGTCGAACTAGTCGTTACACTAATACAATAGCTACCAATCTTTTAGATTGTAGTATGTTTCGACCAGGGAAGACAACTCAAAGCCCTCATCCTGGAGATGAACGTCCAAATAAAGGTGAATACAAGCGTGAGCGTTTGTCAAGAAAGATATATGGAAAATAGCTGTTCAGTTAATACATTATGTCCCACATTTTGTCGTGTCTACCGATCATATATTGGTTGATTCATAGTAACATTTATTGGTATATATAACCCCTGGTATTACGGAAGTGGCACATGAGGTAACTGATGCATAAGTCAGACGCGTCAGGAAGTGAAAAGCCCCAACGTAACTAATACCAAGTGACAGCCGAGACGAATCAGAAAGGTCAAAAAAAGTTGATATAGGAATCTTATTTGATAAAATTTGATGATGAACGTTTTAGCTAGTCAGTTAAAAAACCGTTTGTCACGTGAAAAAATAAACAATAGACAAAACAATTGGGTCTATTCAGTCGCTCAGTGTCAATTAGAGTTACAAAGATAATAATCATGGTCTATAGATGATGTAGTCTTAACGGTCCATTAACACAAAAAAGCCCTGGGATTTGGGATATAAGATATCTGTACCCGTGAAAAAGGAGGATAATTTTAGTGATTCGTGAAATTCTTTAGAGAAATCTAGGAGGCAGTATACGTGTTAACCATTTTGTACACATTATTTAGACGGAGCTTCGATTTGTCATCAATTACACAAATTATTTCTCCAGATGTCAAGATCTCAATTTATGTATGAAACCCATACAATTCCTATTAAGACAGAAGAGTGAAGGATAGAAAAGTTAAAGGCACTATTGGTCATAATACGATCCGTCGTTTGACAATCTACTATAACTGATAGGGCTAGGTTAAAAACGCAAATAACCATGCAAGCAATAAAATGTTGTTAACAACGGTTCTTGTGAATCTCAAAGAGTGTCCGTATCAGCATTACCCACTAATCCGAATGATTGTAATAATCGTACTGTAATCATCACGTGATTAAACGTTTCAATGTCGTCGGCATAAACTCGTTGCTATGAGCAGTACCTAATCAGTCACCAAGCGTGTGATGTAACTACAGTTTTTGGTTTATTAGCTTCTTTCTTCTACGTTAATGACACTTCTAATGCGTTTTGCCTTACTTCATTGATAGAACGTATCATTTACCATTTCCAGACAAAAATGTCCAGATACCGACACTATCGCGCCAATATGAAGTAAACGATACCTCCATCTCATGTTAGTATGCGTCTATTTCAGTCATGTTTTTAGTGATTTACTTTAATTCATTTTCGCTGACGTTGCACCATAACCATGGTCAGTATGGGAAGGAAATATGACAGAGCTTCTATCACACGGGATCATATAGGTTTCAGTCTGAAGTTATTTAGACCAATGTCATCAATGTATCTTATTTCCGCACAAATCATTCTTTGATATTTTCTTTATGCTGCTATGTTGTAGGGATTGCGTTACATGAAAATGACAATGACATAAGTATCTTTTGATGTATCTCATCTAATACACGGATAAATCATACATGGTTTGATAATATTTGCCAAGGCCTTTCAACACAAAGGGAAATGAAAGGTGAATGAAAAGGCATTTGCATTTGCACGCCAACAAACACGGTACAAAAACGATTTCTTTATTAATGAATTTCCGCCTACATGTTGCAACGAAGGACAAACGTTCACACGTAGAACATTACAGTCCTTGATTTGTTATCATAAGTTCATCTGGAAGTTTTGCACAAAAGTTAGAAAGGATAAAAAACTAAATAGTTTATCACAAAGACCTATCAATCATATGTATTAAGTAAATATGGGACCGAGAGGTTTGGGTACTCAGTGTTACAGGTGAGAAATAACTCTTTTCTATCATCCATGAACTAACTAATGTAGTGAAATATTTTGTCTTCAATTATCATTACATTTTGGTAAGGATTTTAATATGGTGTTATTAGATCCAATGTATCATCCACCATGTGATCATTATGGTGTAACATTTGTAAGCATCCAAAATGGCTACTCCACTGGACGTATTAAAGCAATCGATGATGAATCGTTTAATTTAACTTAGATAAGTTTATACTCGACATCAGTCAACAATATTGACAAGGGGTGTTAATATAAGCTTTGAAATGTCTAAAAGAATTTACTTGTGCATGCGTTACGCTCGTGTATACTGAGGGTCAACAAAAATCCAACAGAATGGGTTTGACGGTAAAGTGTTCAAGATGCGATGAACTTAGGCTTGTCATTGCGGATTTATAATAAAGGAATGTATAGTGTTTGGATGACAAATTCATAGACGGCCAATGACATGCTTGTCGTCTCGCTGTCTTTCTTTATAGCTTGGACACTATTAGCCGACCTCGGGTTTTATGAAATGTATTTTGTTTCCTACACATCTACACAATCATTCTGTCACATAGACATAAAATCCTCCCAAAAGAGGTTTAAAATCTACAAAAGCGAAGTTCAGAATTAACAGATATTATATTGTTTCAAAAATAGTTTTTCACCAATACCACAACTTGTTCTTTAAAAAGCAGTTTTATCCATAGTCTACCAGTGTTTACTCTTGAGACGAAAAGGACTCATAGTCATATTATTGCGATACTTCGAGTCTAAGAAACGAATTTTCTAGGAACCCTTAAAAACATGTCGACAAGGTTTGAAGCAAAGTCATGAAATTTTCCATACATCTTTATTTTTCATTAAATGTTGTAGCCGATAATCATAAAAATGTTACTTTGAGAATATTCGAAAATTTAAACTGTCTGTTTGTCTCTATATTCTTCTTTACGGTATACATAAAAATAACACTTTTTCAACATCAATACGATTATTACACTAGTCAAACAAGGATACACATATATATTGTCGTTGAAACAAATTATTTGTTTTGTTATCAAGATTATATCATGACCGGCTTTGCAGATGCCCTGCCTATGAAAGTCAATGTCATTCTGTGAATTGTCAAATTATGATATAATATGTAATGACATGTTATTACTTGCTAAACATATTTTTATATATCAGCCATGTTGTTTATTTATGTTGAAACTGTTGTGTTATATAGTCTACATCTATTTCCTGAATTACTTCTATATGACGTGACAATATAAGTCTGGGGAGTTTCCTTGTGTTATTTCCGATTAGATTGATCAGAAATAACTTCACCATTTATCTATTCAACTTCCACATCTGTCCAAGTCCGACTTCCTTTTCGTAAACGGCAATCAAAACCTGTTGGCAAGCCTACATCCGCCTTCGATCAGGCTGCTTTCATTGTCTCACTATGATTTTATGAAATGTATAGAAATATTAAAGTTATCCATTAATGAAAACTTAAGTAACACAATTAGAAATGCGAAAATTATATTCTGTATCTATAATCTATTATCGTAAAAACTAGTAAAAATGATTTCGTACATAAAAGAAATACCCAGTAATCTTAAAACGCAAATACATCAAATGTATACAGCCATGGCAAGTTGGTAAGTGTTAATTATATTTTCCAATAAATCATGGACCCGCACCTCTTCTTGCGCAAGTGCATACAAGTATCTTAATGTCAACGCAATGTAGATCTACGTCCAACTAATGACCGTCACCCTGAAGTTAAAACATAATGTTAAAAGGTGTGACATCACTTCGTTCATGGAATAGAAAATAAGTATCGCGTGCCAAATGAGCATATAAATTTGTGTGATTGTATGAAACTTATCCTTCAATTTAACCTTAAGATACACTAAGAAATTAATTGCTCAGTTTCTATAGTATATATCCAACAAAGGCATGACATTATTTTCTATATAGGCTTACCCTTTAATGAAAAACGAGACAGCTTTCCATCGAGCTTTGTGACTACCATAATGATTTCTAATTCACCGTGGTTAATTTTCTTAAAAGAAATGCCGCTTGACGATTTTCGTACAAGATGTCAAATGACAAAGCTCATAACATGGGGTTTTAAGAGATACAGGTTGATGAATATTTTTTTTTACAGTTGTCTAAGTTATCTCATTGCGAAATATTCTATTTTATTGTTCGATATGAAGCTGGACGTGTTTAATGCTCAATACTTTGCCGGTTGGTTTTGTTGTTGTACACCTTGTTCTCATCAGTCACTGGGATTGACTAAAATTTACATTTCGGGTGTCGTTGATGAAGCAAAATGATCTTATTTATCCCTTTCTCGTTGTTCTTTTCACGGGTCTCGTGTACTTGTTTGTTAAGGTATTTTCTTTCTTTTTGTCGTATATGCACTCAAATCACCAAATATTGTATATACTTACACTTGCATTTGGTATTCCAAAGACGATGACAGGCTGAAATATCATAATGATTAAGTAGTAATGTTTTACAAGTCATTGAATTAAAACGGCCTTTAGATAGATTAGAGATTTGACATTTCCTCACGCACCAGTAACGAACCAGTTTTATCTATGAGGGCATAACTGCATCCAATGTCTTTTTTTATCGGAAATACAATTAAATCTCCACCCTATCATGTTGGTGAAGGTGTTTCTTCCCTTGTGTTTACGTATGTAACAAAACACCTGTACAGAAAGTACAACACGGGGGTAATTCTCGAGCTTGTGCAAATAGGCCTATTTTGATTGGCAGTTTGCTATCGAGTTTCCCGCCAGCATCACATCACATAGGTGTAATCACAGGAATATAAGGACGCCCACATGGGTTCAGTAGGACCATTTCACGACTCGACGGTGATGATGCAACGTGGAGAGTTCTTCAGCTGCTGAATCCAGGGTGATGAAATAGACGCGTGACCGAGTGATACGTGAGTGAAGGGATCGTGATCCCCCTCCTTATAATCTACTCCTCACGTGGGTTCAGTGCCCGGACTTTGGACTGCAACGCAAGCAACTAGGAAGTTATGCTGAACTCAGTCAGCTAAATTCCTGGATAATATCACAACATTATTTAGGTAAGACATTATGGTTTTATTATAAATAATCCACCGTCTTAACTATTATAATATTAAATAACGTTCAACTTTATGAATCATTTAACCTATTAATGCAATATAGGTGTTTTTAAAACAATCCAGAATAACTCAGCTTCATCATATTAAGCATAGCTATTAATTCAGATTTTCTGTTATGTTTGGGCTGTCTGCTGTTTGTTTTGATTACTTACATATGTTTACGATAGTTTTCCAGTTGCTGTTTGTTTTACAATCGTGTTTTACAGGAGGCTGAAAGTTATTTAAACATACTATATCTAGTGACAGACTTTTATCGCAGAGTAGACTGTAAAATGTCCGTGATAATAATACATCGGTTATTTTAGGCCGGTGTAGAATGATTTTGGAACATAACATAAACAAATAAAATAGTATATTTCGTTCATATGATTAACACGATTTATGGAAGCCTAACAGATCGAAAATGTCAAGCATTTATAAATGTTTGAGGTACGTTTTGGTTTGGTACATTATCAGGAACTTGTAATCAGCTCCTGACAAATTAAGATTGGTAATTTATAAGGAACTTGTTATCAGCTCTTGACAAATTAATATTGGTAATTTATCAGGAACGTGTTATCAGCTCCTGACAAATTAAGATTGGTAATTTATAAGGAACATGTTATCAGCTCATGACAAATTAATATTGGTAATTTATCAGGAACGTGTTATTAGCTCCTGGTAAATTCAGATTGGTAATTTATCAGGAACTTGTTATCAGCTCCTGGTAAATTCAGATTGGTAATTTATAAGGAACTTGTTATCAGCTCCTAGCAAATTCATATTGGTAATGGGTACATTTTGTAACATAGTCTGCTTGTTTACCTTTGTCAGATTAAGTACGTCTTGTGATCAAAGCGGTTGGAAAGCTATACTTAGTGTCTCGATCATGCTTCAACATTTGAAAGAAGATATTATAAATGCATTTGAATTAAGTTACAGAAAACTGTCATTTCAACATATCTAAAACATTATATTATGTTGATATGATAAAACGTGTGATTGCCGCGCTATTTTGTTTTGTTCTTATTTTTATTATTTGCTTTGAATCATGACGAAATCAAATACTTCACTGCGCTAACCCAACAGTACATAGTCAAACCAACAGTCAAGAAATAAATACAGGAAAATTCACAGAAAAAAATATTCAAAATAAAATGCAGAATTCCCACATTTTTCAATCAACCTCCTTAGTTTTCCTATTATTATTATTTACGACAATTGCCGTAATTTCTCGTAGATGATAGCGTGTCAAATGGGTTGTTTTATGCTTAAAAGTATAATGAAAATGTACCTCTTGTGATCTTTCACACATCAAATTAGATAGTTAATACATATTGATTTACACCGTACAGAAAGAATATAAGAAATCCTGTCAAACAGTCTACTTAGATACTGATAGACTCGTTCACTTAAATTGGTTTACAGTAATAATTATTGCAAATCGGGAATGACTTTTCCGCTTTTACATTATTTCAGGTTTACGTGTAATCAACTTGAATAAGTTATTAAAGAATATCACAAGAAACTAATTGAAGTTGGCAAATTGTTCATTTAATATTGTAAATTAAAGCATGCTTAACTGATTCCTGATTATTTCATCAGCTTTCACGCCCGCGAGAAGTCATGTATATATTTGTGATTTAAACGCGATATATTAAAAGGATGACAGCGTGATGGAAGGAATACAACATACTCTGGTTATCGAGTCGGGCAATAAGTAGCTTGTTGATCACATCATTTGAAACTTTTCAATAAATCACCATACTTAGGGGGAAATACCTTTCCACATAATGCGCATTTTCAACAACAGTGTTTATTCATTTGCTATTATTGCTAAAGTCTGTTCTTAACACATCTTAAGGGTTTTATAATTACTAACACGTTTACGACTATTACATAACATATTCTTTATAAGGAATCTTTCTTCAGTCCTTTCCTTAGTATCAAGGTGAGGCGTTTTTCTGCAATAACTGACGTGAGATTATCATAAACATCTGTCAGAGTAGAGCAAGTGGGAATATACTTGTCTCTCTGTCAATTAACACTTCAATTGCCGTAATGGTGAGTAAAATAGAAATCGGTTACTATCAATGCTGTAACAGTTAGAAATACAGTTTTGTGAAACATTACGTTATGCAATAATGAGGTAAAAACTACGAGATTGCAGGTTAAAGTTTCGTTTATGTAATTGCATTTGAAAAATATCTGGAATATACACTTTTTTTGTTGTTGTTATTATGGCTTGTAGATTCATTATTAGGGTTGACATAAAATGGTGGGTGACGTCGATTAAGCAGAAATTGCTTAACATTCTGGAAACTTTTGTCGTAATATGTTGTATTGTAAATGCTCGAAAAAAAGCAGTAGATAAACGACCTCAGCTACTGCTGTAAACTTAAACCAAGTTCAAGAAAAAGTACGAACATTAAAACACAGTGAATATATTGTAAATATGTTAACGTGTCGGTATTAGCTTTCTTGTTTTTTGAAAATGTTATAACTGAATATCCAGACCATAATAGAGATAGTAAAAATGGGTGTGTTGCAACATTTTATGTAGATGAAAATTAGCTAATTTATAATTGTTAGGCCGTAAGTCAACAAACATTATCCCTTGAACTAACTTAACCCCTCAAATATATTTCACAAATGTTTACACCAATTGAACACAGCACACACTTTGTATAGCATAAAGTGTCATTGTCGTTCCACCATCTTGATTGACGATACGGGATCTCTTTATCACCTACGTTCTCTGTGTCTCTACGTTCATCTTTTCTTCCACGCTCTTTGCAACCATTCTCGATTGCTCAACATGGAATGGAATACACTTTAAAACACCTGCACTGTTTAAGTCGGCATCCGCTGAAGTCCATCCACCTTTTCACAATGATCGACCATATTCTCTGTTTCGCAAATATGATATCCGCAAACACGCGGTCTCGTAATTACCACCCGTTTTCTCGTTTACCTTAATAGCTACCGGTAGTCCGTTAAACCGCCCACGGATTTTCTACACCTACACACTATCAGTGCAACTTGTACCAGTCAACAGGTCCCTGAACTTTCATTTAGTCTTTTTCAACACTCGCACATTTCAACACAGATACGTTCCAATAACTGAATAGTCATTCTAGGTAAACACAGTTTGCGTTTGATAACTCAATATGTAATCAAGAAATTTCCCCTGTTTTGTTTGAACATTTAATAAACAATCGGCCGCTCTCACTGTCTCCTCCCACTAATGCATTTAATTTTACTACTTATTTGGGAAATGATAATCATGTTTTATCTGCTAGGAACCTCAATTGGACAAAATTACAAATCGAATAACAGAATCCCATAAAATGGCAGAATTGTACCAGCAACTCAGAGGATTAGAGTGTGCTATACTGGTAAATAGATCACACAGGACACATAAAAAGTATTCGAGAGTGTGCATTATCTAATTAGAAGAGATTAGTAATTGTATTACGTTATACATAGTGATGATTGGATTCAAAACGATATGGTAAAATCAAATCTGATGGCAATACAGATCATCATTATACACTACGTTATGAAGATTTGCCGATGGCCGTTTAGATACCACTTTTAGATGACCTCAATACTTAAAATACGGCGGGAATGTTTTAGCAAATCAAAACTCGTCACTCGTATGCCTTTCGAACAGCATGTGCAAGTTTAAGTAAAACGATGAAACTGGTAATAAAGGTGGTTTTCCTCAGTATGAAAAGAGTCGAGGAGAGACAGGCTTTAACAAACTTAAGTAAGTCGCGTTTTGATTGGTTGATTGAAAAGTCATCTGAACATAACCCTTTATTGGCCACCGTCAGATCTTTTTAAGGAAGTGTATTCATGATGATTTGCATCAGATGGATGTAAACTTTCGACGGAAATCATATTTTTTTCTCTCTTCGACAGTTTAGTGAAACTAAACTTTTGGTGTAAGTTTTTTTATAACACGTGTATGGAGCTTGTTTAGTACCATAACCAAGGCACTCGAGACAAGGACTTAGTGCTTTAAACAATAGGTGTCAACATCACAGCTTTCTCCATATCATGCTATGTGAAAAAGGTTCACGATGTCTTCTGATAAAGGTGCATTCTGCAAGAGAAAAAAGGCTACTTTCTTCACCTAAAAATTCGTTTAAACATAAGTTTCAATGGAATGTAATTTGAAACAATAAATTTCACCAGAAATGTTACATCTAATTTCTTTTCTTTTTTGCACTGAAATCATGTTTAGCCTGCAACTGACATGAGAAAGAAATGTGAATCATATGCTTGTTATCATCAGCCTTCCTCATCGTCAAGCTTAATAACCGGTCTGTAATGCATCAAACAACGAGGGTTATCTGGGCAATTTAGTGGTTATATTTGATAGAAACAGTAGTTTACAAGCATTACTACAGCCGCAAATCTACATAATTCAACACAATGAAGTCGCTAATTCAAACCCAAAATTAAACAATGAAACAAATCCCAACCTGGAAATATCAACAAGGAAAAATACCAGGGAAATAAAGACATGATTTCCTGAAAGGTAAACTTCTTTTGGTTCATCGAAGAGTCACATTCTCAACCGATTAACCCGATTAAAACAAATGACACTACTATTTAACTAACGAGCATTGGAATTAAATTCCCCGTACTCCTCTTTTCGATTTTACAACCCTTGATATTTCGCACCATAAACTAATAAAAATATATGGATCATTATCATATGTCTTGTCGAAGTTCGTTTATGTGTCATTTGGGCAGGATCATGTGTCCGTAATATCTTTATTAAATAAATGATAATACCACGTAACTTAATATCTAAAAAAAAAAATTGTGCCATGATACAAGATGTAATATTGTAACTTTTGTTTTCCCCTTAATTTTACTTATGTCTGGATATCTCCCTAATCTTTCTACTTGGTAAGCGTTTTTATCAAAATTGAAAGAAGCTGATT